AGATCGGTTTTTGATGTGGGCTATGTGTTCACGGGCGTTGTCATCCATAAGAATGAAATCAGGGCCGACTGCGCCAGCGTTCGTACATACATGGACGTCTAAGATTTCATTGACGTTTCCCACTGCCGTCAGTGTACCGTTTTCAATGATGTGTAGGTCCGTTTTCCCATGAGTGCTTATTCCCGCCCACACCATGATTGAACCCCCGCCAAAACGGTCGTGTTCTGCAACGCATGCTGGAGCAAAGCGTTCATTTGGACTTCTCCAAACCCAAGCCCGTCTGTCCGTGAAGTCCACACAAAACCTTGACTCATCAATGAAGAGGACCAGAGTACAGTCATTAACTGTCCTTGTGATATGAGACTGCGCCCATTGCAAACGCTCTTGAATATGGCGTTGTGTCAAAGGAATGCGAATTGCTGGCCCCCATGACCTCAACCGAGCAGCATTCAACCTGTTTCTAACAGTTTGTGTGCTTACACGCTCACCAATTGCATTCTGGAAGTCGTAACGTAAGATCGTAGCGTTCGAGAACCATTGGCGCCTGGCCTGAAGGACAATAAGTCGGTCCTGGGCTTGAGTCGTTGAACGTTCCCGACCTCCGGCGTGGCCCTGCAAGACATTTCCAGTGATTTGGAATCGGTTCCACATCCTGGAGACAACGCTCTGGGATACCCCCAAGGGCATGAGCAACGTGCCTTTGTGAACGGCCAGTCTCCAACTTTTAGATACCCCTGTTCATCTTATCTTCACTTCATCTAACCTATCGATTGCCATAGTTTGTTAATTTCGAAGACAGTTTTACAATAAAACAAGAGAAGTATTGCTGCTTGTACACGTTTAAAGTCTCTATCACATCAGCCTCACGAAATTTAGTTCGTACGATTTGTAGAGAAATCAGTGTCGTAGAAAGGTCGCTAGCTTTTTCGCAGTCTATCTAGACAGACTTGTAGATCGTAAGGCAGATGTACGCTGTTTCTTACGTCGGTCGCATGGCTCGCACGATATTTAAAGGACAACATTTCGTACGGTCGTCGCAAAATGATCGTGCAACAGACGTGCAATTGTTAAGACAGTCGTAAGGCAATCGTACAAAATGGATTAAAAAGCGCAAGGGCACCGCACGACGCAGAAGAATTCGCAAGACTGCCGCGCGATTGCCACAGTGTCTGCACGTTCATCGCACGAATTCGAAAGTGTGGATTGAATGCAACACCACCATTTGAGCACCCCTTATTGTTTCAATCAAACCGGGATGAAATCAACCACAAGGGTTGCATTTGAGTGTTCTAAGACGGAGACTTCGTGAAAAATAAGAGCGCCACACAATAGTTCTAGCGCTGCTTAGACAGCTTTGTATTTTGTGCCGAATTTGATACTAACATTTTTTTCGTCAAATATGTTTGTAGATTCCCAATTAATGTGTTTAGAATAATTATGTCTTTTGCTTATGTGTTTAATTCTTAAAAATCTTACCTATGCCTTGAGATAAATTGTGTTTAATTTTGTTCACTTTTCTAATAATTTTATACATTGTAAGGTAAACTCGTATAAAATGAAAAAAAAAAACGGTTACACACCTGGCTCACCAAGTTTTATAAATCTTGACGGTGTACCGCCAATCGCTCTTGACTCAAAATTCTGAGTGTAAGTAAACCATTGCACTAATATATTTTCGGTTTCAGTGGACATGGAAAATTTGTCATTTCGATAAAAGTGCGTATATTCTTCATCGAAGTCTGAGTATCTTTTGAAGCTCTCTGTGAAATTTCCTTTGAAGATTACTTTGTAATCTGCTGTTCACTTGTTTCTAAAGGCTCTTCATCTGCACCAACCCCATTAACAAGGGCTTTTCCCCTCCCCCTAGATTTTTCTTTGGTTTGACTGGCATGCCAAGAGATTGACTGTTGGGGATTTGGAAAGGATATGATTTTTTTAAGATGCACAACTGACGCAGCGGTCGTAGGACTGTCGCACGGCTGTCGGACGACTTATACGACTGACTTACGATTGCCAACTGTCATGTGGCAGCATGTGATTACGGCCCGCGGAAGCCGCACGATGCTCGTGAGACAACCCTGCGGTCGCCGCAAGACAAACGCAAAACATTATGACTTGAGAACTTCCAGAAATCGTATGTCTGTCGTACTATTGTCTCAAGACTTCTTACGACGTCCAAAATCTGCAAAAAAAATCGCAGAAATAATGTGCATGTTGCGACGTTGCGACAAATTTGCGACCTTTAGAATTCGTACGACTTGCTTGCGACTGCCGCACGAAAAACAGCGATTTTTGTCAAAATGCGTTCGTAGGGCTGCCGTTAGGCTGATGTGATAGAGATAAAGTGAAAACACATGGCCATTAAACACCAAATTTCGATGGGTATGCTTTTCCACGTGCTTATCGTGCAAGGTGTACATGCCAAATCGATAACTTAAGTACACGATAATGAGGTATCCGTACAGGTGTATCGATAGCGGAAATATGATTTTAATATGATGATAATAGGACTGAAATATGCAATGTCAAAAAGGTGATCCTTAGCTAATTTTAAGTTGTATAATTTTCCAAGCCCTATTTTAGTTCAACAAAATAAATATTTTTATCGTGAAACATTGTAAATCAAAAGTCGAAACTATATAATCAAAATGTACACACTTTTAAAATCTTGTACAACAATTTCTTCCAAAGAACAGTAATAGCAGGTGATGGTCAAATATCTAAAATAGATAGGAGAAATTATATGCAAGAACTATGGTATAATTTTGGATCTAAACCGCAGAGAAAGTGTCTATACCGTTCAGAAAATGCCGTTTCTATATCGCTGTGTGCAAAAATGTTTATGTGGTTTACCGCAAGTATTGCCAGTCCCTACCTCAAAGGTCACACTTGTAGATCAAAAGTCATGATATGATTTTTTTCTTAAAAGTGCATTTATGTCTGTATTCTTTCTTTAATTCTTTCTTTCCTAGATAATGTTATAATAATTTGGCATAATTGTGTAAGACATGATGATGATAGGGGTCAGGTCCCCAGTTTATATGTCAAGGTCACACTTGTATGTCTAACATGAACGTAAATAGATTGTCTTTTTTATGCATAACTTTGACATTCATTGATGAACTTTGAATTAATTATGAATAAATATGCTGCTTATTAAGATGATATGTAATGAACAAAATTTCAAAATTTAGCTCAGCAGCCCAAAGGTCTGAATTCATGATACTAGTCATGTCCAGTTCATGTTGTTTTTTTTTGTCTTTCTGTGACAGATTTTGTATTAATTTGTCCTAAATATATGGTTCTTTAAAACAAGTTGTGATGACTTTGTAGCTTAAATATCAAGATCACGCTAGGAATTCTAAGGTTTATAGTTTCATATACGTGTATCTATGGATGAATTCAGTCATCATTTCTCTCATCAATGAATGAATACTTCTGTGGCTCAATTAGAAATAGGAAACTTCACAACGCACATTAATTTTTGATATTCTAACGATTGGGGGCATTTTGCAGGTGCGCGATGACGTAGTATCCTAACCCTCTTTTGGCTCGCATCGATATCAATATTGAAAGAAAAATACGAGCTTTAATCATATAATGATTTGCTCTTTATTATGCCACCGGTGCAAATGTCTATCTGTCTGAAACATGGTTTCCGCTGATTATTTTGAAAACTATTTATCATATTTCACATAGTGATTGGTCATAACAAGTAGATGACCTCTATCGATTTTGGGGTCATGAGGCCAAAGGTCAAGTTCACAGGGGCCTTTAATGTCAGAATGGTTTCCGCTTATTATCTTACTTATTTTTGATAACAAAGTCTTCATACTTCACAAATTGATTGGTTATAATTAGCAGATGACCCCTATGAATTTTGAGGTCACTAGGTCAAAGGTCAAGGTCACAGGGGCCTTAAATGTCAGAATGGTTTTCGCTCATTATCTTGGTTACTATTTATCACAAAGTCTTCATATTTACATATCGATTGGTCATACCTAGTAGATGACCTATTGATTTTGGGGTCACTAGGTCAAAGGTCAAGGTCACAGGGGCCTTGAATGGTAGTATGATTTCTGCTGATTATCTAGGTTACTATTTATCACAAAGTCTACATATTTCACATATTGAGTGGTTATAACTAGTAGATGACCCCTATTACTTTTCGGGTCAACAGGTCAAAGGTCAAGGTCACAGTGGCCATAAATGTTAGAATGCTTTCTGCTCATTATCTTAGTTACTATTTATCACAAAGTCTTGATATTTTACATATTGATTGGTCATTACTAGTAGATAACCCCTATTGATTTCGGGGTCACCAAGTCAAAGGTCAAGGTCACAGAGTCCTTGAATGGTAGTATGATTTCAGCTCATTATCTTGAAAGTTAATTACCACAAAGTCTTCATATTACACATAGTGTTGGTCATAACTAGTAGATGACCCCTATTGCTTTCGGGTCACTAGTTCAAAGGTCAAGGTCCCAAGAACCTTTAATGTCGGAATGGTTTCTGCTTATTATATAGAAAACTTTTTATCACAAAGTCTTCATATATCACATACTGATTGTCATACCTAGTTAGTGACCCCTATTGATTTTGGGGTCACTAGCTCAAAGGTCATGGTCACAGGGTCCTTATATGGTAGTATGGTTTATGCTCATTATCTTGAAAGCTTTTTATCGCAAAGTCTTCATATTTCCAATATTGATTGGTCATAACTATATTTTGATCCCTATTGATTTTTGGTCACTAGTTCAAAGATCGAGTTCACAGGGGCCTTAAATGTCAGAATGGTTTCCGCTCATTATCTTGAAAACTATCACAAAGTCTTCATTACTTTTCTTTTTTCCATAACTGAACACTTCCATTTATCCATTTATGGCAAGTTTCTATAACAAAATAACCAATTATGTGAGTCAAGGGCTAGAAAGGAGGGGAGGGGGGGCATATGTGTCGTTCGACATTTCTTGTTATAAATAATTTGTTCTCAATTTTAGGTATCCGCAACTTCATGAAAGACATTGAAATGATGCTGGGACCAAGGAATATTGTATTCTGGGCTTACTATTTACCAATGTGGTGTTTCATTACTCCAGGAGCTATTCTTGTATGTTTATCTTTTTTACCATCTCATGAAAAGATTTTTAGCTCGTTTATACGAAGTATATGGAGAGCTGTCCGACTCGCCCCGGCGTCAGCGTCCAGATTTCAGATTAAAGTTTTCAGGGCTGGGAATCAAAACTGCGTCGTATCCTACAAAATGTAAACAAACGCCGCCATCTTGGAACAAAAAGGGTATGTTTTTGTTTATAACTTTTTTTGTTGGAAATGACTGAAAACCAGATATATGTATTAACACGCTCCACTATTTTCCGGTTCGTTCGGTATATGTTGCTTGAACAACTATTTTGTAAAACAGAAGTTATAGCGAACTTGCAACTCGAAGCGGAGCAGAATTTTTATGAAATTGTGTGGATACGACGCAGTTCATATTGCATTATCCATCGTTTTTACCTTCAAATCAATTATTTATCCCTTTTAGAGTTCACCACCAACTTCAAAATATTATTTTGTATCATTTAATACAATTTCATGAAAAAGAAATGTTTATTTTCCAAGAAAATAATAATTTGTATGAAATGATACGACGCAGTTGAAAATAAAATATGATACGACGCAGTTGTATTTTATTTGCAGGCTGCATATTAGTTCAGCTATTAAATAATGCGTTAAGTATGGTAGCAAAGTCCAACAACATTTCTTGTTTACAACTTAAATCAAAAGCAGAGGTCACTCATTGGTTCCAAGAAAATGGAAAATGTAATGATTTTTTTTATAAAGGCTTTTTTTTCGGTCCCATTTTTGCACCTGTCATAAGCATCTGCAATTTCCAGAAAGCTGTATCAAATGCAATATACATTGAAACAAGTCTCCGCACACCCATTGACAACATGTTCTAGTGTTGCGTTAGAATGCTTATAAACTTGTTACCGTGAGTTCGAAACTAATGGGTTTTTTCCCATTGATATCCAGGGTAACCTCTCGTTAAATTATATTATATATGCGGAAGCTACTTTTAACCATGAACATGTTACTTAAAATATCATAATATCTGAAATAATTGTTTATATTTTCTTGGACGTTCAATATTCCTTTTTTTTGCAAAAAATATAGAAGTCTATGAAGTCTATGAACTTTAATCACAAACTTCATTTTTTGGCTAGCTACGCTCTTAGTAAAATGTGGTTCTGTATGTTCTGGGAAATGACTGCTTTTCTGCTGTTTTGTTTCAAACACTATCCTTCTACCATTTAGCTTTACTGGGGGGGGGGGGCGAGGACCTCAGGTGCGCCTTTGTGCATTACTTCAGGCAAAATGTTGCACCTGTAGAGAACCATCGACATTTTGAAATTTTCTTGCTAAGTTTTCCACGCTAAATAATCAAAAGTCCCTGGTGGTTTTCGAAATTAATAGAAGTTCAGTGCAAGTGATTTGAAGTCAGTAAACATAAAGAGCTCGGCCTCGGTCGGACACACCTTTCTGTTTTTTGTTGTGGTTGGTTTTTTTTTGTTGTTGTTTTTTTTTTAAACAAAATTTCTTTTGGTCCTAAATGTCAGCTGTACAAATAAGTAAGGGTTTTTAAAAGAAATTTTCAATGTAAACATGAAGTCATTTTTTGAAAACTTTTGTTTTATGTGTCAGGCAATAATTTATTAAATAAAAATCGCACATTAGTATGAACGTATGTTAAGATGCCATGTTTCTAGTCTGTGGAAAATTCGATGCGATAAACTGACTTAAATTTTCTTACCCCGGCTTTAATTTAATATAATGAAAACTTCTTCAATACTATTGAATCATTATGTCGGGCATATATCTGTATCAAATGTATCGGTGCAAAGCGTAAAATACCTTTGCAAAACGGACACCATCTTTACAAAATAATTTATAGTTTCATCATTTGTAACTCTATTTGACATTTTATTTATTACTGGAGAAGAATAATACTATGGTGCAAATATCGAAAATACATTTCATAGGCGATAAAGAAATGCAATACGACAAAATCAGCGTTAAAATGACTGAACGAAACGCATACCTTACTTGTAAAAATATATCAAAGCTTGACCATTTATAATATAATTTTAAAAAGTTAATGTTCATTTAAAAGTGGAATGATCACGCTGATGATGCTTTATTTCAAATACCGATTTAAGTTTCAAATGATAAAGCTTATCATTCTGTTCTCACCGATTATTAAGAAAATGAATACAATAAAATCGGCACGTAATAGACCTAATTAATAACGGGACTGACAGAAATTGTTGTTGATTTTAAGTTACAAAAGTAGGCATGCATGCATTTGCGCATACCTCTCTTCCGATAGCAAGAGACCTTTTTTTTCTTCAAAATTTGTAATTCTTTCTTTAAAAAAACAACAAAAAAACAAAGGTCATTCCGGATTGATACAAGGTCCACGAGAGGTTACCCTGGATATCAATGGGGAAAAAACCCATTAGTTTCGAACTCACGGTAACAAGTTTATAAGCATTCTAACGCAACACTAGAACATGTTGTCAATGGGTGTGCGATGACTTGTTTCAATGTATATTGCATTTGATACAGCTTTCTGGAATTTGCAGATGCTTATGACAGGTGCATAAATGGGACAAGCCTTTATAAAAAAAATTATTACATTTTCCGTTTTCTTGGAACCAATGAGTGACCTCTGCTTTTGATTTAAGTTGTAAACAAGAAATGTTGTTGGACTTTGCTACCATACTTAACGCATTATTTAATAGCTGAACTAATATGCAGCCTACAATGAAAATACAACTGTGTCGTATCATATTTTATTTTCAACTGCGCCGTATCATTTTCATACAAATTATTATTTTCTTGGAAAATAAACACCTTGTATTTTCTTTTTCAATTAAACGTGCCAAATTGTATTAAATGATAGCAAAATAATATTTTGAAAAGTGATAAAAAATATGGTGTGAACTCTAAAAGGATAAATATTATTTAAGGTAAAAACGATGGGGATTAATTGCAATATGAACTGCGTCGTATCCACACAATTTCATAAAAATTCTGCTCCGCTTCGAGTTGCAAGTTCGCTATAACTTCTGTTTTACAAAATAGTTGTTCAAGCAACATATACCGAACGAACCGGAAAATAGTGGAGCGTGTTAATACATATATCTGGTTTTCAGTCATTTCCAACAAAAAAAGTTATAAACAAAAACATACCTTTTTTGTTCCAAGATGGCGGCGTTTGTTTACATTTTGTAGGATACGACGCAGTTTTGATTCCCAGCCCTGGTTTTGGTGCAGTAAAAATATTTTTCACTATCATTTTTAATTTCATAAGATATCAACTTCAAACTTCAAATATATGTTTCTTATCATCAACCACATCTTATGTGACAAAATTCATAACTCTATCACCAATTTTTCAGATTTATCTCCCCTTGAGCTTAGAATTTTCCTTGAAAAATACTATTTTTACTGTTAATTCTTTATTTCTTAAGGGATCAACTTCATACGCAAATATATGTTCCTTATCATCAACCACATCTTATTGTGACAAGGTTTATAACCCTATCATTAATATTTTCAGAATTATCTCCTCTTAAACTTAGAATTTTCCTTAAAAAATACTATTTTTTACTGTTACTTCTTTATTTCTTAAGGGATCAACTTCATACTTCAAATGTACGTTCCTTATCATCAACCACATCTAATGTGAAAAGGTTCATAACTCTAGCACCAATATTTTCAGATTTATCTCCCCTTGAACTTAAACTTAGGTTTTCTTAAAAAATATTATTTCTTACTGTTAGTTCTTTATTTCTTAACGTATCAACTTCAAACTTCAAATATATGTTCCTTATAATCAACCTCATCTTATGTGACAAGGTTCATAACTCTAGCGCCAATATTTTCTAAGATTTATCTCCACTTGAATTTTTCTTAAGAAATAATAGTTTTACTGTTACCTCTTTATTTCTCAAGAGATCAACTTCATACTTCAAGTATATGTTCTTTATAATCAACCACATCTTATGTGAAAAGGTCCATAACTCTAGCACCAATATTGCAATAATTATCTCCCGATAAACTTAGATTTTTTTACTTAAAGAATGTTATTTTTTTTTACTAAAACTTCTTTACTTTTAAAGGTATTTACCTCAAACTTCAAATACTTTTGCCTTATCATCAATTACATCTAATGTGACAAGGTTCATAACTCTTGAAGCAATATTTTCAGATTTATCTCTCTTTGAACTTAGGATTTTCTTTAAGAAATATTATAACTTCTTTACCTTTTAAGGTTTCTACTTCAAATTTCAAATATATATTTCGTATCGTTACACACGTGTTGTGTGACAAGGTTCATAACTCTAGCATTACTATTTCCAGAATTATTACCCCTTGAACTTGGAATTTATGTTAACAAATGTTATTTCTTTACTGTAACTTAATACATAATTATACATAATTGACTTTTCTTTCATAGTTTTGTCTTCCTTACTGCGCCCAGTGTTTTATTAGTCGAGCTTCGCTGTCTCCTGTGACAGCTCTTATTTACTCTCATAATAGGGTTCGCTACGATTTTCGTATTGGGCTGTTCTATTTCACACCCTACTGTGGCTATGGTAAAACTATTATACAAAAGTAAAAAAAATACCCCCACCCTTTCCGGCGCCTTTGTAAATGAGTTGCATACTTAGGATGATGTCATAACGCTGCTAACAAATTGCCGTAGAATTTTCTAATAATTATAAATGATATCGCCTAATATGGTTAAAACCTGCTGTTAAAACCCTGGGGTTAAGGATAAGGTCACTGTTACTAAAAAATAAAAAAAAATTGTTTCCGGTTAGAATTGAGATATTGTAATCAAACTTGGTATATAGCAAGCTTATATGAATACCCCGGTTGGGATTAGTTTTAGACCCACGTTTGGTCAAGGTCAGTGTTACTTAAAACAGAAAAAAAATCCCGGACTCAGTGTTACTTAAAACAGAAAAAAATCCCGGACAATAACAAGAGTTTTGAATTGGATAATATTATTAAATTTGCAAAATAGCAAGCTTATGTGAAGACTCCAGTTGGGATTGGTTTTGGGCGCCTTAGTTTCAAGGCCAAGGACATTGTTATTAAAAATAGAAAAAAAAGTTTCCGAATGATAACTAGAGTTTATGTGGAGACCTCGTTTGGTGTAGCTTTTGGGCCTCCTTCCGGACAATAACTAGAATTAGGAATGAGGTATTGTAATAAAACTTTCGTAGAACAAAATGTTTTCTACCTGAAACGTTTCGTTGGGATTACGTGTTCTTTTCATTAAAGAAGTCTACCTTGAATATTTTATTGAAATTAAGATCTTTTTTAATGCCTTTAAACTAAAAATGTATTCATTAACGTGTTGAAATCAAAAGTAAAAGATGCTATGTTCACATACAATTTCTATTTGTATTATATCTATAATCATACGACACATTTTTACAGGACATTATTTAGTTTATACAAATAAATTTTAGTTCGATTGAGTTGCTATAAGCTTATTGAAACACTCTCGAATCCGTTCCTGGAACAAACCAGTACTAAGCAATGAATGGAAAGTTTCTTGGTCAAGGAAACAACGGCTTGCCCCTGACAGGGTTTGAACCCACGCGGTCAGCAATCCTTAGATTACTAGTCCAACGCGTTAACCTCTCGGCCATGCCGCCACATTATTTACAATAACCATATTACATGAAAGTTACAAAACATTGTATTTTGGTAAATTTTAGTGTTGTTTTTTCTTAAATGTATGCAGAGACATATATAACAGATATAGGCAACTTCCTAACCAGGCAAGATATCACGCGTGCTTGCTGAACTTAAAACTTGTCGCAAGTAAAGCATATTAATCAGTAAAACGATATATTTTCTGAAAGCTTATACATTTGTCTATGGCTGCGGCAACAATTTATAGTTCTCATTTAGATAAATGATACATCATGTTTTGAAAGTAATTATTTATTAACTTTTGTAACTTAACTTTATTGACGGAAACATTGGCTCAGTAGGTATGTTCTGCTACTTTTTTGAAAGGCATAGAAAGTTACAATTTACTTAACCAGCAGCAATACAAAAAAGATTTAACTTTCAAATGGTGTATATTATAAAAGAATCAAATCTACATCCTTTAAGTTTTACTTGCTACAAAATACCTAATTTTTTACTTTTTGATAGGCATGAGTGATATTTTAATGGAATGTATAGGAGCTGCTCATCGTCTCTGATTTATGTAAAGTCAAACACTGACAAATAATCAAGGAATTATGAAATTTGTCATTTAAAGTACCATACTGATGCCAACTTTTGCAATAATTTTCACATTCATATGTTTAAAATAATAAACGAGAATGCATTGTTTTACAATCATTTTTCCTATTTAGGTATGTAAAACAGTGACAGATGACTAGCCCATGTGTAGTACGTACTGTACTTTGATTTTTGAAAGAGTTTTATTTTGTTACAGTTCATTATCATCATGTCAGGCGTATATTACACACCAGTTTACTACGTTGCTGATGAACCGTTCCCATCGTGGGCTCAGGGTGTTGGTTGGATCCTGGCAGTGCTACCTATTGTTTGGGTTGTCCTGGGAGCGATTGTGGCTATTGTCCGAAATGGTTGCAGTGTATGTAACTTTTCATGAATAAATATCTACATGTATTAATTTACCTTTCATCTACTACATGTACAATTCTTCGTATGCTGTTTCACGAAAGTTACGTTGCAATTCAACAGCTATGACACTCCATTTTTATACTAAGATGACGTTGCCGTTCATGCAAGGTTGTCGTTAATTTTATTCAAACATTTGTAGATCAGTTTAAGTGTAAAATATTAAAGTGATGTTTCCGACAGAAAATTGTACTCTCTTAAGTCTTTCCATGACTGTATTTTTTTACTATTCTGTTCTGGTAGTGTGAAAGATTGAAATAAAAACACTCTAAGTTAAATTGAATTCAATCTTACAAATGATATTTATTTAAGATTCGAGCAGCTGTAACACCGAGACCAGACTGGGGTCCTAGGTTGAAGGTCAATCGAACCGGCAAATATTACGGAGATAATTACGGCTACGTTCCAGACGACGACGAGGAAATTCCAAAGATCTATGCTGTCGATGACCCCATAAAGGTCCCAGAAAACGGGAGTAAGCCTACAGACTATGCTGATTTTCACAAGCTGTAAATATTCCACTGCATTCTTAAGTTTACCTGTCTTTTTAAACATTGACATGATTGACTCAAAGTGAAAAAAAGCAAACATTTATTGTAGCGTGTTTAACGCCAACAATTGTACAACACTTAATCTTTTAACAAATTAATATCATAATATATCTTATACAATATACAGTGACAACAACAACTGGACATACTGTTTGTCTCTAAAATAGAAAAAAATCTTAGATGTATTATAGACACATGTATAATTAAAGTGGTTTAAAAAGAGTGATTTTAATTTTATATAATTGTACAATTTTGACAGCAATTTCATTTTTAACGGAGCACGTTTTTTATATTTGTTTATCCAGGAATCGAGCATTTTTGTCTAACATAATCATCATGTTATATGCGTATTAAGGGTATGTTTAAACTTTCCTGACTTTTTATTGTGTTTTAAATGAAGCAATTTCCGGTCTCTCTTGAAATCTAAACGAAATCCAAAATGCATGCTTTAATCTGAAAACCGAATCATCTATTGTGATTTACATTGAAATAAAATACCTACATAAACTCTACAAAATGTCCTATTTCGTGAAAATATCTTTTGGTTTATATTATTATCATTTATATCCTGATATAATATCAAAATTATATAAAACATTGTTTGTTAAAATCTATGTCTTGCGATTCCTTTGCATGATATACATGTATATCACAAGTTGTGTAAAAATCTCTACGCATGTTTAATGCTATCACAGAGAAAATCAATGTTTAAAAATATTTAGTGTAGAATATCTTAGATGTAGTACAATTAAACATGAGCTACTTTTAACTAATATCTAATCAAATCTGAGGGGAAACGTTTTATATTGTGATTTTCTTTTATTCTGTTACTATATATACCTCTGACACAATACTCCTGTGTGTGAATCAATTTGCTACAAATTCCCTTGGAAGAAATTTGCAAGTTTATACATTTCTTTATATGCCTAACATTATTCAAAATTGATACCATGGTTTATTTACTTAAAGAGCACTTGTCAGCTTGCTTGAGTACTGTACTGTGAGGTTATATCGCTGTACTGTGTACACTTTAACGTTAGGTTATATCGCTGTACTGTGTACACTTTAACGTTAGGTTATATCGCTGTACTGTGTACACTTTAACGTTAGGTTATATCGCTGTACTGTGTACACTTTAACGTTAGGTTATATCGCTGTACTGTGTACACTTTAACGTTAGGTTATATCGCTGTACTGTGTACACTTTTACGTTAGGTTATATCGCAAAAATCATTGCGAAAGAAATTGAAAGGGAGTAATTTTCATAACTGAGATAGTGCCTTATCAAGTAAACATTTTGATGAATTGAACTGGAAGGAAATTTGTACCGTTTTGATTTTTATACAATCGTTTAGTTCTCTTGTTGATGACAGTTATGAATATATATATATATATTTTTTTTTATTTTTACAGTCTATTAAATTACTTGTAATCAGAATGTTTTCTTTCTTTATTTATCTCATCGATGACTGGTATCACAGTCGTAGTATGAATAATAATTATGATATGTTATTACAATAACATACACAGGTAAAAATGCACCAGATGTTAAACGTATGTGACACACATGTTTTACATATGGTCTAAGAAACATAATTATGGTGTCTCCAAGAAAATTATCCCAGATGTTTTGCATATGGTGCAAACACATGTTTTTCATATGTTTTTCATATGGATACACATGAATAACATATTTGGAACAATTTCTCCAAGAAAAGGTACTGTATGTTACATTTATGGTATAGACATGTTTTTCACATATGGATTCACATGAATCATGTTTTTCATTATAAATGGTAACTTGTGTTCCAGAGCTTGATAATTCATAAGAATTTAACAAGTGTTAAAGATCCTGTATGTTGTAATTGAGGTTGTATACCACATTTACGTGAAATTATAAATATGTATATAATTATGCTTATAAAACAATTTTCAAACATCGAAGAATATGTAAAATATGTACTGCAAATATTTGTTAATATTATATGTAATCATTAAAATATATGCATTCATTTCTTATTGAAAAATTGACTTAGACTTTAAAGAAAATAATTTTTTATTACCTCTAATATATGAATTCATTTCTTATTGAAAACTTTGACTTAGCCTTTATAGAAAATAATTTTTTATTACCTCCCTTTATTTACATGACATGTAAAATTCGGTAATATTTTTATAGATAATGCTTTTTGGAACTTACAAAATGTATAAATCTTAAATTTGAGCATTATATTTATGATGGTCACTCCCTACATTACAACATATTTATGATATGATGGTCACTCCCTACATTACAATGATATGACGGTCACTCCTTACATTACAATGATATGATGGTCACTCCCTACATTACATCATATTTATGATATGATGGTCACTCCCTACATAACAACATATTTATGATATGATGGTCACTCCCTTCATTACATCATATTTATGATATGATGGTCACCCCTACATTACAACATATTTATGATATGATGGTCACTCCCTACATTACAACATATTTATGATATGATGGTCACTCCCTACATTACAACATATTTATGATATGATGGTCACTCCCTACATTACATCATATTTATGATATGATGGTCACTCCCTACATTACAACATATTTATGATATGATGGTCACTCCCTACATTACAACATATTTATGATATGATGGTCACTCCCTACATTACAATGATATGATGGTCACTCCCTACATTACAATGATATTTATGATATGATGGTCACTCCCTACATTACATCATATTTATGATATGATGGTCACTCCCTACATTACAACATATTTATGATATGATGGTCACTCCCTACATTACAACATATTTATGATATGATGGTCACTCCCTACATTACAACATATTTATGATATGATGGTCACTCCCTACATTACAATGATATGATGGTCACTCCCTACATTACATCATATTTATGATATGATGGTCACTCACTACATTACAACGTATTTATGATATGATGGTCACTCCCTACATTACAACATATTTATGATATGATGGTCACTCCCTACATTACAACATATTTATGATATGATGGTCACTCCCTACATTACAATGATATGATGGTCACTCCCTACATTACAAAAACGACCATCGGTATAAGGAAGGTATTGTATGCCATTTTTTACAACTCAGTGTCCGACATTTAAGTTGCTGTTCCTGAAGGCAAATCTGTTTATGAAAAATTTTACAAGAACAAAAGTTCTCCGAAAAATATACAAATACTTTCGAAAACAGGTTTCGCCAATGCTGCACGAAAACGTGTCATCGTTCAAGGCGTCAATAGTAAGCAGAAAAAAGTCGTTGTTCTCCCAATTCTCCGTATTCACCTGACCTTTCCCCTTGTAACTTTTTTCCCAAAGCTAAAGAGTACATTTCAGGTCGAAACTTTATTCAGCGCAAACACCTAGGTTCTGCAATATTCCGGTGTCTTCATAGTATACTTATAAAGACTATGACATGCCTTCTAAGATTGGATCCGCTGACTGAAACTTTGTATATCTGTTGGAGGTAAATACTTCAAGAGAAAAAATAAACAAGAGGGCCATGATGGCCCTGAAGTCGCTCACCTGTATATTGGCCCCCCGGAGCGGGGCCAGTTTAAACCCCAGGGCTTTTATTTGAACAAACTTGGTAGACACTTATTAGAAGATGTTTCATGCTAAACATCTAAGGTCTAGCTCGTTGGGTTTTTTAAAAGAAGATTTTTTAAGTTTTTTCTTTACACATATATTTAAAAACAATGACACCCCTGGGGCAGGGCCAGTTTTGACCCCAGGGCTTTTATTTGAACAATATTTGTAGACACTCGCTAGAATATGTTTCATGCTAAATATCTAAACTCTAGCTATTCGGGTTTTTTCCATGAAGATTTTTAAGTTTTTGCTATACACATATAAGGAAAATCAATGTCCCCCGGGGCGGGGCCAATTTTGACCCCAGGGCTCTTATTTGAACAAACTTGGTAGACATCCATTAGAACATGTTTCATGCTAAATATCTTAGCTCTAGCTCTTTGGGTTCTTTAAAAGAAGATTTTTAAGTTTTTACTATATTCATATAGGGAAAATCAATGACCCCCTGGGGCGGGGCAAATTTTGACCCCAGGACTCTTATTTGAACAAACTTGGTAGACATCCATTAGAACATGTTTCATGCTAAATATCTTAGCTCTAGCTCTTTGGGTTCTTTAAAAGAAGATTTTAAAGTTTTTACTATATGCATATAGGAAAAATCAATGACCCCCTGGGGCGGGGCAAATTTTGACCCCAGGGCTTTTATTTGAACAAACTTTGTAGACACCCATTAGAAGATGTTTCATGCTAAATATCTTAGCTCTAGCTCTTTGGGTTCTTTAAAAGAAGATTTTTTAAGTTTTTACTATATACATATAGGGAAAATCAATGACCCCCTGGGGCGGGGCCAATTTTGACCCCAGGGCTTTTATTTGAACAAACTTGGTAGACACTCACTAGAAGATGTTTCATGCCAAATATCTAAGCTCTAGCCATGGCAACAAGAGTTCTGCATGGAATTAAATTCTTTGAACAATTTTTAAAGGTGACCACCAAAGGAACATTCCTGTGAAGTTTGGATGAAATTGGCTTGATGGTTTCTTTAGGGATTCTGTATTTATCTATTTTATGAGGAGATGTCATTTAAAGTAAAAGTTTACGGACGACGGACGGACGGACGGACGGAAGACGGACGGACGGACGCCGGACGAAAAGTGATCAAAAAAGCTCACCCTGTCACAAAGTGACAGGTGAGCTAAAAATTCAGTAAAACCTATGAAGTGTTTAGATGCTTCAATATTTGATCACTCCAAATTTATTTTGTCTTATCCGCAGTAGGGTAGTTCACTTGCTTACTATAGAGCTATATATTTCTGTAAATTAAGACTCATGAGAACATAGTTATTTTACTGATACATAACATTCCTCACAGATTAGAAGTGTGACATATGGGTTCGGCAAACTATAGAAAATACAGATGAATCATCTAAGCTACAGGTGAAAGGTGTGATATGCGAACTCTAAAAAATAAAAAGCACAAAAAACTACTAGTTGCGGCAAGCCCTGCTATTTTTATTAGTATTTTTTTGCAAATATGTACAATTTGGCCTGGTGGTATTCCAAATGTAAACATAAACAACAGAATTGAAAAAATAAAGCATGATTTTTGTCGATGCTATTAAACAAGCATCATTTTAAAGGAATTCAAAATCTTTTATTTGATTTATATCACTATGATTTTTAATACGGATATAGTTCACCTCCAATAGTTTCCTAAAATGTTAGCTACTTTAAAGAAATTATTAAATATTGAATTATCAAAGTCCCAACAAAGTAATTAAGCCTACCAAAACTCTTTCTTGTGAGAAGGGAAAAAATATATAAGCCAATATTTCCCTTCATAATAAAAAGGGGGTAAAATGCAAATTCTAATATTGGTCAAGATTTATAATGAGGTGTGGTTTTATTTATCTCGTGCGCACGATATCAGGGCTGGGAATCAAAACTGCGTCGTATCCTACAAAATGTAAACAAACGCCGCCATCTTGGAACGAAAAATGTATGTTTTTGTTTATAACTCTTTTTGTTGGAAATGACTGAAGACAAGATATATGTATTAACACGCTACACTATTTTCCGCTTCGTTCGGTATATGTTGCTTGCACAACTATTTTGTAAAACAAAAGTTATAGCGAACTTGCAACTCGAAGCGAGGCAGAATTTTTATGAAAATGTGTGGATACGACGCAGTTCATATTGCTTTATCTATCGTTTTTTCCTTCAAATCAATTATATATTTGTTTCAGAGTTCACCATAAACTTTGAAATATAATTTTGCATCATTTACTAAAATTTTATTAAAAAGAGATGTTTATTTTCTGAGAAAATAATGATTTTTACGAAATGATACGACGCAGTTGAAAATAAAATATGATACGACGCAGTTGTATTTTGAACAGGGATAATTTTGGCAATATTTTTCTATTTTATGGAATAATCACTTGCGCTAGATAAAAACCCAGATCATTTGCGATGTAAAGCAATGTTCTGTTGATTATTTAGAATACAATGTGTCATGTCCAATATAACATTTAATTTGAAATTTTACATTGCGGAAGCTACTTTTCAGTTAAACATGAACATGTTACCTTATTGATCATAATATCTGAAATAATTTCTTATATTTTCCTGTATGTTCAATATTATCCCTAATTTTTTACGCAAAAAAAAATGTAGAAATATATTAACTTAAATTCATTTTGTGGTTCTGCATGTTCTGGGTAATGACTGCTTTTTTGTGGTTTCTTTTCAAACTTTCACTCTACACATTAGCTTTACTAGGGGCGAGGACCTCAGGTGCGCCTTTGTGCATTATTTCAGGCAAAATGTTGTACCTGCA